TTTCCCTAATTTGAAGCCTTTCAAATGCATTGGACCAATAGTGTAATGGAGCTATGGTTTGCAGGGTCAAAGCCTAGAGCTTTCTGAGAAGAAGGGACTATGGCATAATCTGCAACCTCCCCTTAATTTCTCCTGAGTTTAATGGCAATCTTGCAGTAGTTGGGAAAGAAGTGGATTTTCCCTGCTATCCCTGTTGAAATGCAAAGTATTTGAGGGTGGTTTAAATAGGTAACTAAGAGTGTTAATTGTGCAAAAGACTTGATCTGCATTCATTAGTATGGACTGTTTTTGCATTTTTGGACTCTGTTTAGGGAGGGTTCTGCTTATGGCAAATGTCATGAGTACCTACACTTCCAAATGTACCACCAAACCACTGTGAAGGACTACAATACACCATCATCCCCAGCCTGGAGACTGCACAATGGTTATATGATGGGAGAACTGGTATGGGCTTCAAGACTTCGTAGAATGCTGACTTATAGCAATTTTAAAATTATTGTGAACACTCTGAATCCATTGTCCACTGCGTCTGTTCCCAAGCACCCTACTTTGTGAGAAAAAAACACATTTCCCTTCTTGGTTGTTGTGAAAGCCTTCGAGAATACATTTCCCTTCTTGCTTCATAATTACTGGAACTCACGTCTTTGGATGTCCCAGTAATAAATATTGCCCTGTATGTTACTACTTTATCTGTGAAATGGGTATTGGAAGACCAATGGCATTTCCAGCTTATCCTGTAAGCAGCACCTGTTACCATCTTGAGTTTCTCTTTGGTGCCAAAGAGGTTAAAGGGTTGGATTTCATTTATTTGACTTGATTTATGAACTTTGAATAAGGCATTATTTTATTAAACAGCCCAACCTCAAGGTTTGGGTTGATTAAATGCGTAATGAAAGATCATGAGATTGACTTGTTTGATGTTCACAGTTTCAAACCAGCTGAGATCTGAATATAGGAACAAGGCCAGACTATTTGTTTAACATGTGACTGTCTCTTCCAGCTGGCAGGGCTATTTGGGTCGAAGGCAGAATTCTGTGCCATAACCTGCTACCTAGTCTTTTCAAGTTGGTGTGGGCATCTTGGGCAGCTTTGAGAGCAAATTTTCTGCTCCTACAGAAAATCATGTGGATAACCAAAAATATGGGGGAAAGTGACATCAAAATGATCTCCACTTTTGAAAAATGTGTATTTTATGAAACATTGCAGAGGGATTCTGAAACCTATTTGAAAAGTGATTTGCTGCCTGTGGAGGCTTTCTAGAGTGGCAATTCATTGGGGGGGGGAGGGGAGGAGAGTCTGATAGGAGAAGGCTCCATGGGCAGTCCCAGAACTGCACGTTGCCCACCCCTCTTTTAACAGAAAGAAGATCCCAGGCCTGCATGCAGAGTCGTGTGCAAATTCCTGGAGCTGTGCCCCCTCATGTTAAAATACTGGATTGTCGCTCTTGTTATATACTTTGGCAATCTTATGAGTGACTAAACTTCAAAATGTATGTCCCCAACGGCCCTTTTAGCTCTTTTAGATTCAAGCCTGTGGCTTCCTTTATGGAACCACTCTATCTCAAATTCAGCCTTCTTTTCTGGTTGCCTTCAGATTTTCCTAGCATTATTGTCTTTCCCAGTGAGTACTGTCTTCCCATAATGTGTCCCAAGTACAACAGCCTCAATTTCATGTTTTACTTCCAGAGAGACAGGATTGAATACAGTGACATATACATGGTCTGTGGGAAGGGGTACACCTAGGGTTGCCAGATACATTGGTACCAAAAGGAGGACATAGAAAGACAAAAAGGAGGACAAAGGAGGACATATTGAATATTTCATTTGAATCATTCCAGATTAAACCCACAATCAATACAATTTTATTACAATAGCTGCCAATACAGTGGGGTCTCTACTTAAGAACGTCCCTACTTAAGAACAATCCAACTTAAGAACAGCTCCATTTGCTAAATTTTGCTTCTACTTGAGAACAGAAATCCAAGATAAGAACAGGAAAAAAAAAACCTTTCCTGCTCTTTTTTTAACCTTAGGTCATCTTAGGTTAAAAAAAAATTCTCCTCCTAGTGGTAGAGTACGTATTAACCAGCTTTGCATTAGTTCCTATGGGAACTAATGCATCAATGTACAAACGCACCTCTATATAACAAAAAAACAGCCAGAACGGATTAATTGGTTTTCAGTCCATTCCTATGGGAAATTTTGCTTCAACTTAAGAACGTTTCAACTTAAGAACACCATTCCAAAATGGATTAAGTTCTTAAGTAGAGGTTCCACTGTAGTTTCTATGGACGGAAAAGAGCAGATACGGATTAAATGGTTTTCAATGCATTCCTATGGGAAATGCAGATTCAACATAAGAACTTTTCAACTTGAGAACCACCTTCCAATACGGATTAAGTTCTTAAGTAGAGACCCCACTGTAATTGTTACGTATGTTCAAAGTGCCTCCAACTTCTGGTAACTTTACGAATAAGCTATTTGTCTGTCTTCAAAATGTCCTGTCCCCAATGTCCTTGCTCAGCTCAAGTTATTATAACATAAAATATACAAAAGCCTGACATTTTATCTTTGCCTGCCTGACGGAGGACATTAGGCTAAAAAGGAGGACATGTCCTCCTTTTGCCTGACATCTGGCAACCCTAGGTACACCTCACTTGGTGAGCCTCACATCCTCTTCTTGTCCAATGTTCTGTCCTTTGTGCTGCTTCAAAGTCAAGGCAAATCTTTGGGGTCAGAAGGCCAAGGCTGAGCTTAGCAGAATGAGGGAGAGGATCCTCTGCATCAGGGGTCTCAAACTCAATTTACCTGGGGGCCGCTGGAGGTGGAGTCTGGGTAAGGCTTGGCTG